GAGAGAGAGAGAGACGAGGGGTGGATACATGTAGATTGAATAATTGATGAATAATTAAAATCAGTTGACATGTATGTCAATCACCCCTTTATTGGCAAAGTGAATTTTAACAGAGCACAATCATGTCGCGTATGTTTGGGGTATTCACTTACCATATCAAAAGGTCAATACTAATACAGGTGGGGGCAGTCAGGCTAAGATTACGACGCTATGTATGTTAGGGCAGTATTATCATACTAGGCTAGTGTCCGAATGACCCTGGTTCGAATCCAAAATGCAACGTTCTTGATCTTGGTTTATGTGGCGTGTGTTGACGACTCTCCACCTATATTATTTTTCGGTCATATCGTGGATGAACATACATTTCGGCTTTAAAACACACACACACACACACACACACACACACACACTCACGCACACACTCCCTCACTCCCGGAAAGAAAAGAACAGAAAACAAAAAACAAAAAAAAGCCTCATCCTTCTAAATTCTACACAGCATAAAAAAAAAATATTTGATGCCAAAGGTGTGTGGTTGTCAGTTTAGTACTACCTTTGCATATATATACTCTAACTGAACGATGTCGTAATGCATGGAATTTCTCCTGTTCTTTCAGGATGGCAATTATAATTGGTAGTGCTACTCAATTTTTACCGGCCCAAGAACAGATAAAAAGTGCTTACTTGATAAGGGTGAGTTTGTTATTCGGAAGGTTCTGTGGTCTTAAGAGTCTACTATGTATGGACTGTTTGAATTCTGCTTGTCTTTGATGCTTCTATATACAAAGTACAGAGATGTTTACCTGGTAAAAAAATAATTAACCCCCTCCCCTCGGCAGTTTTAGATGTTTGTTAAAAGAGTATTTATTTCTTGGTATTTACTTCATTGGCCTACCCCATATTCATTGCAATGTACAAACAGGCAAAATGGGTCTAGGATAAGAAACAAAGTGTTCATAAGAGATTGGTTTTAGCTTTTCTCGTCTTTGTTTGCAGTTCTTTCAGGTCTGAAATGTTCAATATCTGAGCAGAAATGGGTCATCAGGTCAGCTTCAATCGCTCGGCTGTGGCGCTTCCTGCCAGATCCCTTTCTGACCTTTTTCAAACCCTTGAATATTTCTTTTTGAACATATTTTAACATGTTCTATGAGAAAGCCATGACAGGAATGAGTTTAGATGGAGTATGAACAACGGTACGTGTTAACTTGTATTAACTTGTACCAGACATATCCTCATGGATAGCTCATCAACACAACCTTTCACTTTCAGATATAACCTCACGTAATTTCTGTCAAAACTGTCTAAGGCGGACTCCAGTTGTCGTGGACAAAAATGTTGGTCTTAAACAGCTGGCTGTCTTGCTCAGTGCTATCATAGTATTATGAGAATAATATACAAGGGAGGAAATGGGAAGTGGACATAATTGATCTTATACAGGTGGCCATTTGAGCATGTTTGACTGTATGTCCTGAAAGAGAGTTAAGTCCGTACAACTAGAGTGAACAAAGGTACGCTGTATATAGACGAAGGTATGTTGTACTCTTGGTTTTCTTTCGTATGTTGAATATATAGATTCTAACAGGAACAAAAAAATGTATTTTTAGGATTTAGAAATTTTACCTGAACATTTTTCATCAGTTTTCTTTTTTTGTCACTTGCTTTTTCAGGAACACATAACTGCAGCAATCCGATACATGCCCAATGATTCCCTGGTCCATCACATGATGGGTCGTTGGTGCTATTCTGTAAGTAGATGGCGCTGCGGGTCTTCGGTTTTTAATTTTCTCTTTGTTGAAGTACATTTTTTTACATGCTCAGTTATCTTACTTTATTTTACTTTATTCTTCCGCTTGTACTGGTGGGAGTCGCGGGGAGATACAGGCGTCTGTCTGAAGCAAGGCAAGTGGCATGTAGGAGGGACATCCCGTGATCCAGTAGTAGTGGCTACGAAAAGGAAATCCCTGATAAGAAGAAGTAGATGATTTGTAGCATTGACTGAAGTTGTATTTGGATTTTAACAATTTTATATCTTATTATTGTTTGAAATTTTTAAAAGAGATATAATTTTATGGAATAAATTTGTTCCAGACAATTTATTTTGTGTGCGCAATTATGTTTTATCAGTTTACAGTTTATTCATATTATTCATGAACTTATAATCCCATTTAGCATTTCAAATACGGATTCACCTCAACATTATGTACTTTTGACATGTGCTTTCTGCATTTTTCGTTGTAATAATATAGTTATTGTCAAACGAGAGGTGTTTGTTTACTAGTTTTATTTTCCGATTTAGCAAAAATGGTACAAGTTTAACCTTTTCCTATAAGTTGAGATGTTCTTTAATCAGTGTAACTCAGGTTGTGTTCAAGCTAATTTTCCCGTGGTTTCTTTGTCTGGGAATGTAGTGAATGAGTGCACTCATTTAGATGCTGCTAATGATTTTATTTTGTATCCTGTATAAATCGATACAAAAAGGAAAAAAAAATGAATCTTTATTATTTACAAATTTTACCCAAACATTTTTCTTTGGTTTTCTTTTTGTGGACAGGTTTATATGTTGTCATGGGTAGAACGAAAAGTAGCAGCTGCTTTGTTTGCCGAGCCCCCAACGGCGACTGTTGACGATGCTTTGAAATATTTTTCGAAGGTGAGATGAAAGTTTAACAATAATAATGTTTTGTTTTTGGAGGTCTCAGCATTCATTTCTTGGCAGCTTATTTTGTTGCATCTTAGTAATTTTCTTGTAAAATATTAGTTTCACTTATGAGCTTGATTGGTGTCTGTGGTGTTGTGGTTAGGCACTTTGCTGTTTCATGCAGGAGACCTGAACTCGATTCTTGAATGGGGATAACTTTTTGCCAAGGATCCATCTCAGCCTGTGGTACCCCTGACATTCAGGATTAGAAGCCCACCCCTAAATGATCCAAATTGTGTTGAGGGGGATGTGAAAACACTTACTTTAAAAAAATAAATTATGAGCTTATGTTTATCTATACTTCTAATCAAAGATGTTTTAGTTTCTACTCTAGTGGTATATATGCTTCTCGAGACGTTTTAGTATCTACTTCTGTGGATCTATTGTTGTGAATGCAATCAACCTGTGTTTCTCACGCTCATATGACCTTATGCAGTGGAGAGCGTCGTAAAAGTCTTTTTAAACCAAAAGTTTAAAGCTGGCATGAAGTAAATCAGTCCCGCTGTTTTCCTCAGGCGGATGAATTGAACCCCAATAGTTCGGTGGATAATGCTCTGTATCTTGCAAAGGTAAGGTTTATTGTCATTGCCTAAGGCCAAATGAATTATTTGATTTCAATGCAGTTTTGCTTTTTGAAAAGAACAGGTACTAAGATTCTAAAAGTATATTAATAAAAAGGAAAAAAAAAGGAATCATCTAGAAATTGGAAAATGATTATTTGCTCACAAAGTTGATGAATATTTTGGCATCATTATGCTGCTCGTAACTTTGTCCTTTAAAAAAAAAGTGCTGAATTTTCATACATCTCCAATTCGGGCTTAAATGCTTCATTCGTTCGACTACATGGCCAATTTAATTTTCTGAAATAGATTCTGAAAGACTTGTACTTTGTTTTGTTTACTGGCATATTGGACTCTCAATATAGAAACTACAAATTAGTGGAAGATAGTTTAGGCTGACTTAATTTTTTTAAAGATTCTGTTTGTATTATGTTCTCTCAAGGAAATAGAAAAAAGATTATTAGTGCAGCATAAGGGGTATATGTCCCCTTCAACACAGATTATTGAAAAGGTGAGACCTGAGAATTTAATGTCTATGTCCGATAAGACTGAAACAATTTGGCTGAAAGTCTTGAAGACTCTGTGAAACAGCCAGAGTTCAAGAACGCCCTCTTGTGGATTCGAAGCAGGGCCATCCACTGTATAGTCCAGCATGATACCAACTGAGCTAACTGAGTGGCTATCTGGTCATGTGAAGATGCCAATAAATGATCTACATGTAGATGGAAGACAGTCGAGAGATACATTCTTACTGTAACCACAATGTAGACATGAATTTAGTTGTGAGACAATACTCCTTTTTGGACAAGTCAGGTTATATTCTGTGTATGTCTTCCAGGGATGTTTTTGTTGTTTTATTTTAAACGTATGGAATACACCTCGGGGCGGTGCTACTGACTGAAGTTTCTTTAGGCCATTCCCAAAGGGGGGGGGGAATTAATATGTTCTTATGCTCAGTAGAATTGTAAATTGTAAATGGGCTGATTCATCAATGTCAGGCTCATAACTGTGCCTGAATTGCAACAGGGAACTGCTGCTTTTTCTTTCCTAATCCTTACTAATGTCATTTGTTCTCTACTTCTTTTGTATGTTTGTCACACTCTAGTGACCCGCTATTTCCGGGGTGCCTCAATAGTCGAAACAGACTTTGTGCTGTTGAAACTAGTGAGGTGAGCAGAGTAAGTCCGATTCCCTGTAAGGATTTCTCTGTTGACCTCCAACCCTTGACGCTCATATGACCTTATGCTTATGCAGTTGCGAGTGCCGTAAAACCTCTACTAAAATAAAAACTAAAAAAAAGACCTGTTGAAGAGTGAAACAAATGTGTCAACTATTTTAACAGACACCACTCATTTTTTGTGATTCTAATTCTTTAGCGCTTCGCTTCTTATCAGCTACTCTTGTTGCCCACATATATCCATTACCTGAATAGAGAGTGGAAGTCTAAAGTTTGAAATAGGCTTTCAATTCTTCTTTTACTCTTGTTGGTCAATTCCTCATCCTTGCACATATTTCTTGTCAATATTTTGACTTTTTCAGTGCTATATTGCAAAAAGGAACTACAAGTCTGCAGCTAAATGGCTTCAAGAAGGTGACATGATGACAGCATCCTGTCGAGATGTAAGAATTGCTCCCCTTTCGGTACGATTAAATTATAATTGCACTCGTCAAGACCCAGTTGGTTGGCGGTTGGCTTTAGTGTTGGCCTTTGCACTCTGGTTTGCGTTGGTTTTATAGAGTGTGAACCCTCACGCTCTACCAGGTATGTTTGCTTCTGAGTGGAAAGAGAATTCACTCTACAGGTGAAAGTTGTGGACTTATAAAATGTTCTGAAAAAGGTGTTGAAAAGAAGCAGGCGTGTTGTTTTTCCGTGGTTGGAAGAATTGTACAGCACACTGACAGTCACCTCTTGCAAAGGAAGGAGTCTTATTCTTGTGTCACGTTTTTAAAGTTTTTGTTCAGTTCAGCTTACATTGTTTCTGGATGGTTTATTTATTGTCCTGTTCTCTGATGAGGTCGGTAAAGTGCTGAATGTTGAATATTATGTTTTAATATTTTTCGTTCTTTCTTTCCTTTTAATTTGAGTGAATTCACTTCTTCGTAGCGGGTCTTGTGTTTTATCAGTGCTCTGGTGTGCTGGCTGATTTGATAAGATATGACGAACGCGGCTAATTTCTAGCTCATATTTTGCTCTTGAGCATACCCAGTGACTTACACATTTGATGCCACTACTACAAACATAGCTACTCTCTTTAACGTTTATACCATATCTGGTACATTGATACTCTCTAACACAGGTTTCAATAGGAGGTAAAAATCAGTTGTGAAAAATGCATGCTAAGACCTAACATTTTTTATTATGAATCCTTTACTCTTGAACCATCAAGTCTGTTTCTTACAAGATGAAGCAGTTTTAGCTCAGCTTTAGTTTTCAGAGTTTTTTCCACTAAAATGTGTAAGGGTGTGTATATTTCAGATAATTTATTCCTTTCTTAGTTGTGACAATTAACTTCTTTGTGACCGTTTCAGTACTTCGCACAGCTCACTTATCATGCCAAGATGCTAGGTTGTAGTGTGCACGGCGTAGGAATAGTTGTTTGACTATTTTTCTAAGGCAGGACCTTATGCTGTGCAAATTATAGCAAACTTTTGATGCTTTACTACCGATTTTAATGTAAAATCAGCGTGCAAAAAAAAAAAAATGAATCAGATTCTTAGCAATTGAAAATGTATGAAAACATGTAACATTTTCCTGCGAAAGTTTGCTTTTAGTCGAAAGTGAGGGATAAAGAGGTGTCTCTCTTTTTCACTCTCTTTGTTCACCTTTGAAGTGAAAGCGGTAGGAGTGCAGACATTTGGGTCTGGAGATAATGAACAATGAAACTTTAAGCCATTTTGAAGCCGTAGATGAAATTGTAACACCTTTGAGAAAACCTAGCGGAACTATTGAGGCTCCGTCAACACTTGAAAACAAGGGGAAGCAGCTAAAGGGTTATGCTTAATTATCTTTCAGCGTTTTTTTTTTTTTTTTTTTGGGGGGGGGGGGGGGGAGGGACAGGAGCTTCATTCTAAATGGCAAGCATGTTTCCCTGAAATAGTAGCTCATATTTTTATTTATTTGTTAAAAGGTATGGTAGAAGTGTGTACCTCAATTTAAGTTGTGTGTAATTTTGTTGAATTCCAGATAGTGGTTTAATTTTTACATATATTCACTCTGGTTACCTTCTGTAAAGATGAGAGAGGAAGTCGGGTAATGAAGACAACCTCCTTTTTTACCATGTGCTGTGAATTTGAACTCCAAATTAAAATTCAGAAGAGAAGTGTGGGCTGAAAAAGTTGTCCTACTGAATGCCTGCTTGAAGATTTATTATTCTCTTGAAGTTTCATGTCTTTAATTTCTTTTTGGTACATTATTCTCTCTCAATTTGAGACATTTGTATGTATATCTTGAAACAATTTTTAAACAATGCAAACTTGTACTTTTGGTTTTCCTTTTAGTAGAGGCAAGACCGCTGAAGGTGAAATTAACATTTCTTCCCTTAACTTTTAGGGTATGTTCTGAGGAGTAGATCTATAGATTTTGGTTTCAAAATTTTTGGAAAGGTTTACTAATTTGCACATTGTGTCTTGATAATATTCTAGTAACACAATTAAGAAGAAAGTTCGTGCAAAAAAATATTCCAGGTACTGTCGGTATCGTTTGGGCCTTGACAATTCAGTGGATAGCTTTTGACTGCTGTATAAGATCTGATAAGTTAATTTGCAGAAGAAATATGAGTATGCTCAGGTATTTTGTAAGATGATTTGATTTTTCTCTTTCTTCCTTTAACAAATTTCAAATGTTGTATGTTTTTGTTTTCAGGATCGAAAGTCCCTAGAAGAAATCCGGGAGCTGTTACCAAAGTACATTTCGTACTTGTGAGGGGGGAGCCTGTGACTGCCCTCACCATTGTGCTGCTGTTTGCTGATGCCACGTGGGTGTTGGACTCGACTTCTTGCTGACCTGGTTTCTTCGCCTGGATGTTTTTCTAGAACGGGAAGGGAAAGAGATGAAATATTTAATGTGCCATGAATGGAAAACAAAAGTTGTTGGTTCATGTGCAGATTTTGTTCAATGGTTCTTCCAGAATGTTTGTGTCAATCAGAATTTTTATATTTCAACGTATTCTACAAAGAAATTTTTCATGACTTGGATTTAGATGTTTTGTGCATTTGCGTGGTTTTCTGATGATGTTCTTATAACGTCTGCATTTAGGGAAGTTTTAATCAAAATGATCAAATCTTTGTCTTCAGTGCATACTTCTGCTTTTATGTTGATGAAAGGTTCAACATGTGCGTCAAAGGTGTAGACTTGTCTGAGGTCTTTTTGAGTATGGTTTATTTTAAAGAGGTTCTATTGCTTCCTAGCTTGTAAGACTGGAAACCTAATGTTTCTTCTGTTGTTGTGGTGCTCAGATAACCCACACTTTGTAATGAAGGATTTTTTGACATTTTAAAGAAACTAGTGAACTGTTTATATCAAACCCTGGGAAAGTCAGGCGGAAAATACACAACCTTTAAAGGAGATACAACGTGTAAAACATGGAACATACACTTTTTATGAATTTGAAATTGTGTTGTTTTTTAAATCAGTTTTTCTGTCTGATTATTATAAGAATTGTCCTTAGATTTACTGAAAATGTTTGTAAATGTTCTGTATGGTCTTTTGAAGTTCTTGACCCAAGAAATCAGTGAAAATATGTCTTCTTGGTCCCCAAACTCACAGAACAACATACACACACTGTGGCAGGTATGGTTTAAAACTTTCATTTCCCTATTTTCCAATTCCATAGATTATATCACTTCTGTGACAAAACTGACCTTAAATGTCCTGGAAATAATCCCCCCCCCCTCCCCAATTTGGCATGGAATGTCTTTTTACAGTTTTGAAATAGGATAGCTCAGCATATCATGGTGGTAATTTTTTTTTTTTTTTCATGGTTTGTTCAGAGCATCGTGATATTTTGTTTATCCTTAAATTAAAATATGATAGTTCTTATGCTCAGGACAGCTGTAGGACAATAAGTTATGTGTTACAATAACCATATTAAAGCCATTTTTTCTAATGCTTTGATGGTTTGTGATATGAGAAATCGGTGCCATGCGACTTTCCCACCTGTGAGCTCGGATTTTTTAAACATTTGCACTTAGATGGATTGAAGGTTTGCTTTGAAGTATTGGAGACTGCTATAATTGTTTTCAGTATCTTTTGGTTGTTATTTTTGCTTTAGTACATTTGTACTATGACGGATTGAAGGTTTGCATTGAAATATTGGAGACTGCCATCATTGTTTTTAGTATCTTGTGGTCTAAATTGAGAGACAAGTTCAAAGTTCTGGGACTGCCGCTTTGCCACTTACATGTGGTAGTATATTGTAGGTTGTATTGCATCGAATCCGCTTCTTATAATATGTTATGTACACGTTATATGATGGTATGCCGATTAGTTATCCACATTTTAACACTTGACAGTGATCATGCACATGGTCTTTTTTCCTCTTGATTTCTTTTTTTTTTTCGCTTTGACCAATTTTTTATTCTCCTGTTTTGAACCTAAAAGGAAAATGGACATTTTTATGTGTATGACTAATTGGCATAAATTCTGTCTTCATATGTTGGAAATGAATCATTCTCGCCTGTGATATGATGTCAAAGTATTATTATTATACTAAGTTTTTTTTGTATTCTGGTTAGGTAATGACATTCTGTTATTGGTGATACATTAGGTTAGTCAAAAGGATATGCAATGTCACTACAGTTAGACCTGCCTCTGCGGTGCAATGGTAAGTCTCATCTACTGACATGTATAGCAAAAGAAAACGATTTTGATTCCTATTTGGAGACGAGATATATATCTGGCATTCTGATAAAATGGGTACTGACAAAATCAGTTGCTTCTTGGATTTCAGCCTGATGGAAATAGATAGATAGGTCAAATTTATATAGGTTGAGTTTTCAAAATTTATTATTAGTATGAAGTGATAGAAAATATGTTAAGGTTGAAGAGAATGGCATTGGTTTAGAATCCTATATAAATTACCTTTGTGTTGATTTTTGGCGGAAATCTCCATTCTTGGATTGCGAGAAGTAACTCATTTTGTCAGCATGTTTCACATTGTCTTTGCTTTCCTGCTAGATGTAGTTTCATACACTGCTCACTCTGATCATTTTTAGGGAGAGAGGGTAGAAGCAGTCCTTCTCCTCCTCCTCCTCCTCTAATGGTCTAAATAGTGTTGAGTGGGGTGCAAAACTTTGACGTTATTTACGTTAATTCCCACAGTTTTAGTCTTGCTGTGGGGGTTGAAACCGGTGCCCTTTGGTTTACTGTCACGTAATAGAGCTTGTGGTGGGCTAGGTTTGTGTGAGTGGGTGGTTGGTGGGTGCTCTGATGTGGTTTAGTCCTTCTTTCTTATCGAACATCTTATGTCCTTATCTTTCTTTTTTCTTTTTTACGTTTGTTATTCTCTAGTAACAACTGTAATCTTTGGCACTTATATAACCTTATTGTGTTGCAAGTGCTGTAAAACACTTATGAAAAACAAAAAAAGAACCCAAACAAGTGTGTGTTTATATTACTCGACATTTTCGAAAAAAATTTAACTCAAATTGTTGGAAACAAAATGACCTATTCCGAAAGGAAATTATGACCTTTAACAAGGTCATATGTCAAAAAGGGGATCATTTCTACATTTTTGCAGCTATGTCACACCGTCGCCCATTGGCGTCCCATGGGGGAAAGGACGTCTTCTTACTGATGCCGATCGACATCCCATGGGGCAAAGTGTTACATTACATCCTAGATAAAGTGTATGGACTGTCATACGAGATATGTGTGGAGATTTGTGTTTGTAAAACTCTTTGCAGTTAAGTATGTTAGCACTGAAAAATTTTGTTAGTGAGAACATTACTGAAAAGAAATCCACTTTTATATTATATCTGTCCTGTATGGTTAAGGGGGACTTGATTATGTTATTGCCCCTATGTGACCTCAATGATTTGTTGTGGATTTTCTATATTTTCTCTGTATTACATATGATGTATAAGTAGGCCAGTAAATGATCAGCATTCTCTGATAGTAGCACTTTTTAAAAGAAAGAGTCTAGCATGCACATAGTGAACACGCACATAGCAAAACACACACACATTGAACAGAACATAGATAGCGAAATTCATGCGAAATTGAAAAGATCTCCGCATTCTGTTGACTTTGCTATGTGGATGCTAGACTATATATATCTTTGTGTGATGTATTCTGTTTTGTTTGTTGTTTTATATGAACACACAATATGTTACATTCCGTCCAGCACAGACTCGGATGACCAGTTTCTTATCAGCACTTTTCCCCCATTTCTTTATTGTTTCTCTTTTCTCCTTTTCATTGAGTAATTCTAAGACCATCTTTGTATCTATGCACTTTTCTTCGACTTTGTAGAGTAGATATCGATCGACGTTTTGATGCACTTAATTATTACCCAGACCAGCTGGAGAGGTTCCAAGTTTTAATTCTAGCAGGATCCACATCAGCAATACCTGTTTTCCCTCAGGGCATTTAACTTCAACAATGACAAAGAAAGACAACACTGAGGTTTCCTTTAACTGCTTGATATGATTGTAAAACCTACTCCTTGTAATCGAGGTTGGGATGATTGTTTGAACTTTTGTTCTGGCGTATTCTTTTGTCTTTTCTAGTTATAGGAGCGCCTGATCAAATTCAAATATTATATTTTATATATATATGTGTCTTTTCAATACCTCTCGCTTATAATATCTAAAAGCTCTATGGATCGGTGACATGTTGTGAAGATGCAGTTTACTGCCATATAAAAAGTAAAATTTTGTAATGTTTAGAAATTGTAGTATATTATTATGTGAAGGTGGTTTTTTTATTTTAAGCACATACTTTAATATCTTTAGAGTTTATTTTTAAGTTTAGGTGTGTAAGACATTGATGAAAGTAGCAGTCATTTTCTTCATTTTTAACCAAGACTGCTACTCAGCACACAAGAATGAGAAGTAAATGTATTTATGAGCTTAAAAGTGTTATATCAAGTTGCATGCGTGTTCGCATCTACACAGGCTTCTACTATTATTATTATGAATAATAATACTTGCATATATAATATATAGTACATTTTCATAAGAGAGTAACTACTAGACCACGGAGGCCACAACTAACGTGTAACTTGCTTTGTTACACTGTTTCAACAGTTGATGATGAAATATACTTTTTGAAATGCCGTTGTGCATTTGATACTACAATACACTTGACTTGTGGCTTAAGATAATAATAATAATAATAATGAAGATCATTTCTATAGCGCCCACTCCCGTGTAAACACAGCTCTAGGCGCTTTACATAAATGCATGTAAGAGATACTGTGAAACATGGCCGGTGTCACGTGCAATCCACTCAAGTCTGTTTGGGTACTTTTTACACCAGAGACAAAAGACGGTTTTGTTGCGTTGTGAGTTGTTCCTATCAGGAATCCTGAAAAGCAAGAAAACAGTCATCCTAAATCATAGCATTTAACTGTATTTTTGTGATGTTGAAAGGTGCATCTTTGATAGAGCATTGGGAGGGTGTGAAAATTGAAAATTTTCCAGATTTCGACTTGAATGGATGACTTGCCACAGCGACCTCTTCATTGTGGATTAACTCAATGAGGACACGCATGTTTGATGACGCGCTGTTTTGGGAGACTTTAAAAAAGAAGCATAACTTTATTACTCATTCATATTTTTCATTTCTGCATTTTGAATCTGAAACGTAAAAAGGCAGGCAACAACATGCATACAGTGAAATACTCAGATTTGTGTTTTGTTTCTAATTTGTGTATGTTGGTTTAAAACGTACCGGAACATTGCTTTCTGTCCTCTGCTGGTCGGATGTATGTGTCCACTAAATTCTCAAAGAGTTCAGATTTGCAAAGGAGATTCCGGCAAGACGTACAGTGTTGGGCTGAAATCGAACACTTTCATCGTTACTGAACAAGGGTCTTGTGCTGTTGTATACACTTCTGAGATGAAGCAGTCCGGTGTGATTTGGAGAAATCATTGTACAATATAGGTTTTACGTGCAGCCAGATTTTTATATCAAGACAAAATTATCTAGACTTTCTGAGGAAATACTCCTACGTTCCTGGGTGTATCATTGGTTAATGAGTAATATGGGATATTGAGAAACAAAAATGAGTGACACAACTTTATCATTGTAAAGTGTGAATGATTGAGAAAGTCTGTGATCATCATATCAAATGATACATACATATACATTCAGTTTATGTTTATTATGTTGAGGTCACAAGTGACTTGTGAAAATGGCGTACATTTTTGACTCTCCACGTACTTTGGATTTTTTGTTGACTTGTTCCCACCATGGACTCTAAAGAATGCTTGAGAGAGTTCCAGATACATTTGTACCTGTTGAAAAAAAAAGAAGAAAAAAAAAAAGAAAGAGGGCGAAAAATAAATATTACTTTTTTTTTTTACTTAAATGATGTGTTTCGTTTTTTTTATCACCAATGTTTTGTTTTGTTCAGTTTTTCCTGTTGATCTCTTTCTGTCTTGCAGTGTAGGTAGTTGGTGGTTTCTCTGCTGTGGTTTACTCTTTCTTCCCTGTCGAAGATTTATCCTTCTTATCTGGCGTTGGTAGTCTAGTGGTTAGGCTACCCGTTTCGTATCCTTGAGGTTGCGGGTTCGAGGGTTTGAGCCACAGGCCCGACGTTGTGTCCTTGGGAAAGGCACTTTACATGCATTTTCTTCACTTCACCCAGGTGGAAATGGCTACCCAGCTATAGACAGCGAAAGATCTTGTCAGTATGTTGGTGTTTTAACGCTGCTGGGGTAACAGTAAAGATTCTAAAGCGCATAGGGCTTGCTGTTGAGCGGGAATTTACGCTATACAAAATGTTATCTATTATTACTCTTATCTCTTCTACTTTTTGTTTGTTTGTTTGTTACTCACTTGTTACAGCTCCATTCTTCGCCCCAGGGATACAACATCCCAGTAGAAAGATGGAGATACTCGACCAAAATGTTCACCATACACGAATTGAACTGAGGTATTCTGTGTGCGACAGCAAAATATCTAACCCCTTCTCTAGAAAAGCTGGTCTGACTTCTTGGTAGCAACAGAACAAAAGTATTTGATAGTGAAATACATATGTATACACTGTATACATTTTTTTTCTTTTTTAAACTAAGAAGAAAGAGAAGGATACAAATGTGTAGCCTTGTGCAGCACCATAAGAGACAAAATGACGCTCCGGAGTGAAGAATCGGTTCCCAAGCACTCGCCAATGCTATCGGCATGTGTTGCCTGGCTGAGGCATTGATCAGTCGTGCCAGCATGCTGGATGTGATACTTACTACTTACTTACTTGGTTGGAGAATAGGCATCGTTTCAGGGGGCACCATGCCATAACTGCACCTCCCTCCTCTCCAGGATCCATGAATGGGTCTGCTTGCTGATCGTGCCAGTAATCAGCTGGAGACAAAAATTATCACGCTAGATAATAGCATGCAGATAAATAATAACATTATCGTCAAGCTCAAAAGATAAATGCTAAAGTCATTTATAGCCATTTAGAGAAAATGAAAAACAAAACGGTTAACAAAGAAGAGCGGTTAACAAAACAAGAAGAGACAACATAAAAAAATGAATTCATAAGGGACACCGTAGGAGCAACACCAGTCCTACCACACATTGAAAAAAAAAAAAAGATCCAGTGGTTCAGACACCTCACGCGGATGCCCTCAAACCATCCAGCTCTGAGAGCATACAACATTAAATATTCTGGCTGGAGAGCAAGAGGAAGACCAAGGCGACGATGGAGTGAGTCTGTGGCAGACACCCTCTCAGCTCACGGGATGTCCCTCCTCCTACAGGCCACTTGCCTTCCTGCAGACAGACGCCAGTGTCTCCCCGCGATACCCACCGGCACAAGCGGAAGAAAAAAGTAAAGTAAGTAAAGAAAAACAAAACAAAAACCCAACTGTTTCTTTCCAACAGTTGACTCTCTGAAACGCTTGAATTTTGGTACACTAAACTGATTTGATAGTTAGATTACTCCTGTTTTTTTCTCCCAGTAAAGTATATTACCAAGCTATATGACAAGACGATAATGTTTATATTACTCTTCATTTCAGAACCAAAAACTTCAAACCGGCCAAGATTACGTAGGCAATTATTGTATGAGCGTGAATATGTCACAGCACAAACCCTGTACTACAGATTTTAGAGGGTTATGTTGGATTTGCGCTTAGAAAATTTGCTTGAAAGAAGACATCAGTACAAAAGGAAAACGGAAAACCCCAACAAATGCACCAAATTGCAGCAGTTCGAATTAAAAATGAACAAAGCGGAAACCATACCTAATTATTGGAAAGAAAAAAATCTAGATCTTAGATTAATCTAGATCTAGTTCTAGGCTAATATAAGAGGTAATCAGAAAGAATAAACTTTTGCGTTCATGCACTGATAAGTTGCAAGTCCCAAATTACGAGCGCCTCAATCTTTCATTCTCCAAAAAAATGGCAAATGCAATCCCATTTGTTGAAGGCAAGCTTGAACAGAGGAAAGTATGTTCTTCAGTAGATCTAGAATCTAGATCTAGACTTCTATGTTTTTCCTATTAAAGTCTCCCTTGAAATATTGGGCCTGTGATCACAGTTGCCACTTCACTTGTGTTACCCTGCTTGAGTGAAAACAACAACATTATCACCACCACCACCTCCACCACCACCACCAACAACAACCCTACCAATTGTGACGTGCATTGTTTTGAAAAAAATATTTTTGGTAAGTGTTTTACGGCGCTCGCAACTGCATAAGAAGGTCATGTGAGCGCGCGGGACACATTTAACATTTTCAGTAGGTAGAAAATTTTGAATTTTGCCCAGGTGGCGGCAGAAGCCTACTTTGATCGATTTTGGACCACTAAGGGATCTTTAACGTGCGCAACTTGCACACGAGACCTCCGAGATTTTTCGCCCTTGTCCCAGAAGGCTAGGGGTACACCTTTCCTACCAGAAGACCAGGGGTATGGCTGGAAGACAGCAGTAAAAAGGAGCCAATGAGTAGCTCTAGAAAGGCGGCAGAAAGAGTCAGGAGCCCAGAGGTGGGGGCAAAGGAAGTGAGTGGGTGGGGGCAGAAAGTGGAGATGAAAGCAAACGACAGAACATTGCTAGAGAGCAGGAAAGGAGGTGAAAGGAGACAATTTCAGAGAAGGAAAAAACGTTTTCGGTCACTACCCAGATTTGAACCCACGACATTTGAATGAGTATTGAGAGGCGACCACCTTAACCTCTAGGCCACGAGAGCCCTCTCCAACAACAACAACAACAACAACAACAACAAAAACAACAGCAACAACAACAAAACAAACAAAACCACACCAATTGTGACATGCGTTTGTGTCTGAAAGGGCATCAGCTCATTGAAAGGACACCCCCCCAAAAAAAAAAAATAAAAAAAATAAAATAAAAAGTAAATTACGATAAAATGAAATAACATTAAAAATACTACTTAAGTGTTAGGTCGTAAAGTGTTCAGAAGCCCTTCTAAATTTTAAAGGAAATATTAATGCAACAAATAGTAACCGAGCACTATATTATAATTATAATATGATGATATTATCATTCCAGGCTTGGGGTGATCTGCTCCTGGAGAAATATGACCATTATTGTGAAGAAATGGAGAACAATTAATACAAAATACCTTTTCAGCAACAGTATGACACTGCCCCGATCTCTTCCTAGGCTGTACTTTTCTGCAAGACGTACTCCCCCGAGAGCAAAGCTTGTCAAGCGATTCTGAGAGGCTACCCTGAGCTTACTGAGGATTACTTGGAGTGTGTGGCGATAGAGAAGAGGGGAGATTGCTCTGAGGTAAGGGTATTTTTCCCCTTTTAAAAAGTTTTTGGTTTTGTAGTTCTTTTTGTGCTTTCTTTGCTGTAATTTGTACCTAAAGGCTGCAATGTTTGGTCCTGTATTATTACTTTCAGGTACGGTATTATAAGAGTGTTCAGCTAAAATCATTATAAATATATTTTTCCTCGTTATTGCTGTTTCAACCAAGTCTTACATCTCATCTCGATGTTTTCTATTCTGTGTTCTGTACTGGGACCAAAACGCTGCTGTACGAATTAATGGAGAATACAGTGAAAATTAGCAGATCAGGCGAGGAGTGAGGCAGGGGTGTGTTATGTCACCAGACTTCTTTAACATGTACAGTGAAACAATCCTTAGAAACATAAAAGAATGTCCAGGCCTCAAAGTTAATGGAGAAAATATTAATAACATCAGGTATGCAGATGACACGGTTTTAATAGCAGGCTCCGAAAAGGACCTTCAAATGCTTCTAGATACTGTTGTAAAAGAAAGTGAACGTAAAGGATTGTTGTTGAATGTAAAGAAAACAGAATGCATGGTAATATCCAAAAAAGCAGCAAATCCTAGTTGTAATATCATTAGCAAAGGTGAAAAGATCAGACAAGTCCAACAGTTTAAATATCTAGGATATATGATAACATCTGATGCCAAATCTTCCGCAGAAATAAAAAGGAGAACTGCAATGGCTAAGGCTAGTTTCAATAAAATGAGCCCAATCCTGAAAAATAGAAACATATCAATGAACACCAAAATGAAAGTCCTGAAATGCTATGTTTGGTCAACCCTTTTATATGGCTGTGAATGCTGGACAATCACTAAAGACAGTGAAAATAAAACAGAGGCAACAGAAATGTGGTTTCTTAGGAGACTGCTAAGAGTATCGTGGAAGGAAAAGAAATCAATTGATGTAGTGCTTGATGAAGCCCACGTGGGACGCTCAATGTTAAAAACAATCAGGAAACGACAAATGCAGTTTTGGGACACCTGAATAGACATAAGGGTCTTGAACATCTAGCTCTCACTGGCAAAATTGAGGGCAAGCGAGGCAGGGGAAGGCCCAGAACAACATACTTAGGGAACCTAAACAAATGGGTAACAGGGAAAGATCAGGGAAACGTAGCTTTTCTGAGAGCATCCGAGCAAAGGAATGAATGGAAAATCATGATCGCCGATGTCTGTCGCAGATCTGGCACTGGATGATGATGATGATGATGTTCTGTTATGACTTTGATAACCCCACAACATTTTATTCTAATATCAAACACAAAAGTGTATTAATTGGTCTGACATTGCGGTTCTCAGTTTTGAAATTGATAATTGTAGATTCTCACTGAATTACAAGTACATCCTGTATACGAGAGAGAGAGAGAGAGAGAGAGAGAGAGAGAGAGAGAGAGAGAGAGAGAGAGAAAGAGAGAGAAGGTTGGGGGGGGGGAGGGGGTTGTAGAAGAGAGCAACATGTGAATACATAAATTACATCAGGTATCCAGTTCTTACCCTGCCATCAACAAGGCGAAACTGTGAACTGTGACGTAGTTTTTGTCGTTTCACCCAGGGATGCTCTCGGTTAGGATTTGTTCCATTTTTTTCCAAAAATTTAGAAGAGCTTTTGAACACTTTACGCCCTACCTAACCAACGTATATTTGAGATGATTCTGAGGAGCGCTCCGTCTACCAAGACCAAAATGGACTGTGTAGGCGACAATATCTTAAAACAGAGAGTGGACAAACACGATATTATGATCTCTTCCCCACCCGGGAATCGAACACATTTCTTTTGTATGAACGGCTAGAGAACCTAACTACATGTATTTCACCAGTGACAACGGTTCTTAGAGTTGATATTTATATTATCGTACTTTGCATTTATTTTGCAAGACCTAATCATTAACAATAACATTCTAAGATGGTCTGAACAACTCTGCAACAAATAACACAATGAGAAATACAGCTGATCCAGGAGACAGACAACAGGATGGAGTGGGGTACCATGATCGTCAATGTCTACTCCAGGCCTGCCACCCGAAGAAGATCCATTGCAGCAGTGACAACGGTTCCTAGTGTAGATCTTATACTTCTCTGCAAGCAAAACGACCATGCCCGCCCCCTCTCTCTTTCTCTATCTATCTATCTGTCTGTCTATCTATCTATCTATCTATCTATCTATCTATCTATCTATCTATCTATCTATCTATCTATCTATCTATCTATCTGTCTATCTAACCCCCTATAGGCGACGGGCTAGAACTCAAATTGCAACTGGATCGGAAAAGTATATAAAGTATCTCCCTCCTCCATTCTTTCTCTATATCACCCCCCCCCCCCTCTCTCTCTCTCTCTCTCTCTCTCTCTCTCTCTCTCTCTCTCTCTCTCTCTTTCCCCCCTCTCCATCCACCCACCCCCTTTCTGTCTCTGTCTGTCTCTGTCTGTCTCTGTCTGTCTGTCTGTCTGTCTGTCTGTCTGTCTGTCTGTCTGTCTGTCTGTCTGTCTGTCTGTCTGTCTGTCTGTCTGTCTGTCTCACCCCCCCCTCTCTCTCTCTCTCTCTCTCTCTCTCCCTCTCTCTCTCTCTCCCCCCCCCCCCTCTCTCTCTGTATTCACCACAGGTAGAAGACTACCTCCACAAACTCTCGGGCAAGAACAACCGCGAAGTTCCCCTGCTGTTCGTGGACACCCGCTGTGTTGGAGGCTACTCCGAGATCATCCAGGTTACACGCAACTAATCATCCCCATTGTTTTTTTCTTTTACTTTTAAATGTTAGCCGATATAGGGTACCAGAACTTTTGGTAGGCAAAAACCCGGTCTTGGCTAAAAACTACGCTATAGAGCAGTCACAAATTCGTGACGCAAACTTACTGTAAAATGTTACCTCAACTGTCGAACATAAACTGTCCAGTTTTTACTCAATGACTCGGATCAATATTGTGACGCGTCCCGACGGTTTGGTCCACATGGTACATCGAGCTGAACAGCAGAAATTGCCAAAAAAAACACACGTGGGTCTAAAAATAAATATTTTGTGTGTTTGAGTGGGGGAGGGAGATACTTTACTTACTTTTAGATTTTTGAATGACTTTTCTGTCGGAAATTCAATAAATTATTATTTTTTTTCTGCTAAATATGTTTTTAAAGCTATTTTGGAGAATGTCTTTGTTTTCAGATGAAATTATTTTCAAATCTTTGATTGCGAATATCTCTTTTTTTGTGCCTCGAACAGCTGTGATGCATTCCAAAATTAAATTGTGCTTCGTTTCGTTAACTATTATCGTATTCATTTGATATTGGTGTCATATGAAGGGGGATTATGTCCTCTTTACATCTGCAGCAAAAACTCAAATAATGAAATCTATACCTAGTGGACCAAACCAAAGGGACTCGTCACACTATTTCTAAAAACGCCCATTAGCTGTATTCTAGAAAATTCCAACAACTACTAATAAAAAATCCAGCGGGGTTGTTTCCACAGATTTGAAAAGGTTTACATCTCATCATCTGGGACGCATATTTACATTCTGAAAGGATCTTTAAAAGAGAATGACCACCGAAATGTGGGAGTGTGGATATTCTCAAAAAAACAATGAAGAAACGGGTAGTGGTGGTTTTAAGGGGGAAGGGGAGTTAATTGATTGCCTAATGTTGATTTGCTATGTTATTTTTAACCGTAATCAGACAGAGTTCCCACTAAGCCGAGAAATCTCTCGAAAGTGTACTCCATAACAAAAACCCCCAAAACCAAACAAAAACCAAACAAAACCAACAACAATCAACCCGAGAGAATCGATAAAGAATATTGCAGCAACTCGATCAACATCTAAATCCATGCCCATCTGTACCAAGTTGCAAATTGGGAAATGCCTATTTTTTTTCGATAAGCCATGACCTTCCCATGCCCATCTGTAATAAGATGCAAGCTGGGAATTGTCAATTTTTTTCTCGACAAACCTTGAGCCTGCCACGGCCATCTGTACCAAGTTGCACGCTACACGTACCCCCAGATGCAGTCGGCCGGCCGCCTGAAGGACTTCATCAAGGACATTGTGTCCCCACGGCAGAAAAAACCAGATGACGACGACCCGATCTACAGGTACCTGGATCTCCGTGTCCGCCCGTTGGACGACACAGAGATCATCATCAAGGTAACTTTTGAAACGACGGTAAGTTTCTATAGCTCTCCTTGGCGTAGTGCTATCCGAGATGGACGTTGAATTTAGAGGTTCGGACACCTCTTAATTTCCTTTTTTAAATCTACAATTTTCACAGAGGTGAAAAAAAGCTCATTGTCATTCTAAACCAATTATACAGTAGCGTCCGCCTAAGATCGTGGAGCTTTGGTGCAAGCAAAATACAGGATCTTAGGAGAACGGGATCTTAGCCGACTTACCTAGAGGATAATTCACGATGACTCATGGTCTGGCCCACAACCGGTTAAATGTTCTTCCCTTATTCTGAAATGAACTGACGTGATCCATAAGTGGGTTTATGACTTGTGGCCAGCAAAGGGTGGTCAACCGTGATGACCAATCACAATAGATCTAATGGCATGAGGCATGCAATTTTTACTCAACCAATCGTTAATCTCAAGATCTACTCCGATCTTATTGCTTCTTCTCCTTACCAAAACAGAATGTATATTATATTTCCATCTCTGACCGAGTTCTTCCGCCTCTGTCGTAACACATCATTGTGTCGTGACCGCACCAATTAAAATTCAGTCTGTCAACCGAATTGGAGGGAAAAAAAGGGGGGCAGAGACAACTACAACTGCAGTGGTAAAGGAAAAGTTCACAGGTCGATTTAATCCCGTTTGAGGCAGACTGGAACTGTAGGCCCTACACATCCAGCTTGTGATATAAGTTCGTGTGGAGAGCTCAGGTGCGAGTGCGATGTTTGAGGAAAACCCTCGCGTCAACGACTTGACACCTCTGTGTGATCCCGCCTAGGCAAACATTCTAACGTTTCGTCAAGATTTATTACAACGGAGCTGTTATCAACTGCACCAGCCTGTGTTTTTTCCCGTAAATTATTATCTAAAATGCGGTATCTTTGCCGAATGTAATCCTCCATAGCGGGATCTTAGGGATGACTTTGGTGTAGTAAAAATTATGTTTCCTTTAAACGAAGCGAACTGGGATTGTAAACGGATGTATTGCAGGTGGAGACAACTGTACTAAAACACCCCAATCAACTGTGAAAGCGAATTGGTCCAAAACTGTTACACCTGCATAGGTGTCCTCCATTTTCTTCTGCTTGCCTGGCGGGTCACGACGGACTAAATTACTGTGACTATCCCAGATGCCCCCGGGGCGACTTGTGAGTCCACATGGAAAGGAAAAT